TCTAAATATTTCTCTCCTCAAATTAAGTCCTTAACAGCCATCACATTGCTCCTCGCTTATCATTTTCCCATCGATTGCGATATCATTTCAAGAAAAACCATTAAAATCATTAACCAAAAGAGCAGAGCGCAGCAGCTCCCCACCAGGATTGACCAACCAAAAATAACAACAACAAAAAATTAACATATCAATAAATGCTTAAGGCAGACAGACAAACATCTTAACCACCAAAAAAGCAGCGAACAACAATTGAGCGTTGGTCACAAGGAAAAAAAATCTCATAACTTAAACACCAGAACCAATGAAGAAAACGACGGGACAGAAGATGGCGAACAAAAATATTAATCCTTAATTACCAAGACAACATCCTGCTGAGTTTGTTAAAAAATCAGCAGCAGCAGCGGCAAACAAATTCCCTTCTTCCTTCCTTTCACGCGATGGCAGAAGAGAGATCCATTACCAAGAGCTGAGAAAAAAAAAAGATTTCGAAAAAGACATCATTTCAACTATGGGGGGGGACCAAATGGTAGAAGTTGCCATTAGGAGGGAGCGAAAAGAAAAAAATCAAGCAAAAACAACAACTACAGCCACAAAATCTTAACGAACTTAACAAGTTACCAGAAGCGTTTTCCATAGATGATGGGGGGCTCCTCCACGTCGTCGTTGTAGTCATCGTCTTGGCCGTTGTTGTTGTTGTTCATTTTAGTAACGAATTTCAAAAATGATAACATGACCAAGTATTGACGTTTAATACACCCTGAAAATGTTAAAGCCATAAACGCAATTTCCATTTGCAAGAAATAAAGAAAAACAACAACAATCCCAAGTCGTTATATTGGCCACAAGCTAATACAAATCACCAGGCAGCCACAAGAAGGAACAAATCTTGAAAACGCCACTTAAATGTCCAAATGGTAATGTATGCTTCCAACAACAGCAGCAACAACACAATATCAATATCAAATGGCTAAGACAGCATTTAAAATGAAAAAGAAGAGGACAAAAAAACGAAACACACAACTTAACCAGAAGACCAATAAAGACTCTGAAGACGAAGACGATGGAGAAAACAAAAAATTGAAAATCATTTGGTTAAGACTTTACATACCAGTGGTTTTGTGGGACATCATGGCCAAGATGACGAGGTAGATGATGACAATATTTGGTTGGTCAAGTAGGAGTTGAAAGGAGGGGGGTGGTTGGGAAAGGAAGGGAAGGATTTAAAACTTAGGAAAAAATAGAAATTAAAAATAAAAAATATATTAAAAAAAATAATTGATAATAAAAAATAAAAAACATTGCATACTTTTGGGCTTGCATATAAAGTCGATTTTAGTGTCTCTCGACTTGCAAAGAAAACCCAAGTCGATTAAAATCGATTGCGATTTAAGGTTTTTTAATGTGTTTTGTTGAGAAAATTCGAGAGTCGATAATAAAAATTGGATTATGTGATTATTACCACAAGCCAAAGACGAATTCGACTTTCAGACTTTTCAAAATCCATCGAAACCTTGAAAACCCAAAATTAATTTCGATTTAATATATATTTTATCGGTTTTCCAGCTGAGCAAATTGGAATCACGATTACGAAATGTCGATTTAGTTATTTTTACCACTTCCTAAAGTCGAATTCGACTTTCAGACTTTTCAAAAGCAATAGTCGTTCAATCGAAAGCTTAGAAAACCCGGAGTTGAATAAAATCGATTTCAATTTGAGATTGAGTGTCTCCGAGCTGAGCAAATTCGAATGTCGATTATGTTATTTTTACCACTTGCTAAAGTCGAATTCGACTTTCGGACTTTTCAAATCAAAAGATTTTCAAAGGGAAGAGTACAAAACCAAAGTCGATTTCGATCAGAATGTTTCCGAGCTGAGCAAATTCGAAAGTCGATTATCTTATTTTTACCGCTTCCTAAAGTCGAATTCGACTTTCAGACTTTTGTAAATCAATAGACGTTCAATCAAAAGCTTAGGAGGCCTACGTCGACTAAAATTGATCTCGATTTGAAGCTTTTTAATCAGTTAACCAGCTGAGCAAATTTCAAAGTCTGTTACGAAAAGTTGATTTTGAGAGTATTACTACAAGCTAAAGTCGAATTCGACTTTCAGACCTCTCAACAACAATAGTCGATTAATCGCAAGCCTAGAAAACCAAAATCGACTAAAATCGATTTGAGGCTTTGTCATCAGTTTTCCAGCTGAGCAAATTTAAAAGTCTATTACGAAAAGTTGATTGTTGGAGTATTATTACAAGCTAAAGTCGAATTCGACTTTCAGACATCTTAAAGGCAATATTCGATTAATCGGAAGCCTAGAAAACTAAAATCGACTAAAATCGATTTCGATTTGAGGCTTTTTAATCAGTTTTCCAACTGAGCAAATTTAAAAGTCGATTATGAAAAATAGATTATGTGATTATTACCAAATGCCAAAGTCGAATACGACTTTTCAAGAGCTATAGTCGATTAATAAAAATTCGATTTACGTAACTCTAAGATAATCACTTTTTTGGATTCAATCACTTTTAATACCGAGAAAATGCGAATTTTGCTTACGACTACCATAAATTCTAGCTTTTTTGATTTAACATTAAGAAAAAAAGTCGAAAATCGACTTTTATCTGCTTTGAGAAATTTGGTAAAGCAAATTATCTAGTTTTTTTGCTAAAGGCAAAAGTCGAAAAGTCTGGAAACATACTTTCGCTCCTGACTGCTTACACTAAAACATTCTTTTCATTTTTTAAATGTAAGTTAAAAGTCAAAAATCGACTTTTATCTACCCAAAACTCGACTTTTTTATTGAAAGCTAAAGTCGATTTTTGATCTCGACTTCTTTGGTAAAAATCGACAATTCTAGAGTTGAACTTTCCCTCTCGAATACTTTCCCCAACATTTTCAACTTACAACACCTTCAATTTTGGTTTGGAACAAAAATATCGAAAATCGACTTTTATTCGATCGAAAAGAGTCGATAGACCAAAATATCGATTTTTTGTTTATTGAAGGGAATATTGGAATGATTTACAATTCAAATTTTGATCTCGATTCAATTTCGAACTAGCATCTCCTTTGAATTTCGTTAGGAAATGAAAAATCGAAAAACGACTTTAAGTCGACTTCGGTCAATGGAAACATTTGTCGTTTTTTATTGAAGCAAACTCCGATTTTTGCTTGAAACTACTCAGATACAAATCGACAGCATTTAATGTCGACTTTTCTTCTTGAATACATGTCTAAAAATTTGAACTAGCACCTTCTTCGAATTAAAGCTGAAAATGAAAAAAATCGAAAAACGACTTTAAGTCGAATTCGGTGGAAGCAAAAGTCGATTTTTTTCTTTTAACTACACTTAGGTGTAAATCGATAATTCCAAAGATTGAGTTTTGTGCTCGGCTACATATTCACGACTTCATATCCAAAAATTTGAGCAAACACCTTTTTCGAGTTTGGGTTTTAAATGAAAAGTCGAAAAACGACGAATCGAATTCGGTCAATTAAAAAGTGGATGTCTCTAAGAAACAAAAGTCGATTTTTCCTTTCAACTACTTAGGTGTAAATCAACAGTTTCAAAGGTTGACTTTTATTCTCGACTTCATATCCCAAATTTTAAACACACACCTTTTTCGAACTTAGCTTGGAAATGAAAACTCGAAAAACGACTTTAAGTCGATTTAGGTCAATGGAAAAAGTCGTCGTTTCTGTTGAAGCAAAGGACGAGTTTTGGCTTGGTCTTTTTGATGCTATACGACAATTATCATGGTCGATTTGTTCTCTCGATATATTATATCTAATTATGAACTTGGATTTCAATCAATTTTCAGTTGGGTAATACAAATCGAAAATCGTCTTCCAATCGAAAATTTGACTTCTTTATTGAGGGCAAAGTCCGAAAGTTCGTTTTTTGTTAAAGACTAACTACACCTAACTATGAATTTAAACCTTCTTTAATCTTTCGACATTTAGTCGATTTTGGGCAATCGAAAAGTCGACGTTTTTGTTGAAGTCAAAGTCGAATTTTAATTTGTACTACTTGATGCTATTCGATAATTCTCAAGGCCGACTTTTTCTCTCGACTAATTATCTCTAATTGATGCAATTTTGGGTTGGTTTAAAAAAAATCGAAAATCAACTTTCAATCGAATGTAGAAGGTGTATAGACCGAAAATTCGACTTCTTTGTTAGAGGCAAAATCCGAAAAGACTATTTTTGTCCTCCCCAAAAAATGCCTAACTATGAATTTTCTCTTCCTTCAATTTGGGAGTGGAAAGTAAAAATCGAAAATCGACTTTTAGACTAAAAGTCGATTTGAAAAATCGAATTTTCTAAGAAAATAGTGTTATTTTCTTTTGTCCCTAATTCTAAGTTTGTACCTCCTTCAATTACTCATTGCACGTTCCATTTAAGGCATTTTAACGTTGCAGATTTTTCTTTCTTTTCACATTTTCATGGACTCAAATGACAACAACAAAAAATATCACATTAATTTTATTTGCTGCAGACGATGACGTTTGGTGATATCGTCAACGAAACGAAAAAAAACTTGCAAAGAAATAAAAACGACAAGGTGTTTTTTTGATGTGGTATGGGGTCCGCTGGCTGCAATTGTTATTGGCAACATTTGCAGGCATTCATTCAAGTCACTCAGTTAGCCACCACCGCCAACTACTTCAATTTCAGCTACCAACCAGCCAACCAACCTAGCATTCCCAATCACACACAATGTGGGGCCGACCTGTCATTTAATGTCAATTAATTTATATAGGAATCTGCGATTCTTTATTCGTTTTGCTTTGGCTGCACGGCATTCAGCCAATGATTGGTTGATGTTGTCTCCCCATAGCAAAAAGACAACAAAATCTTGGCAATGTTTTGTTTTTCTTTGTGCCATAACTTTTTCTGCGATGAGTTATCTTCTGAAAGTTTGAATCATCATTTGGATTTTTATAGTTCCTTTAGTTAATCCTAATCTTATACGTTTTCTTATTTTCTTTTCTTTGCAGGCTGAAAACCGACAACAATGGCGGTGCATGGTGTCCCAAACATATGATCTCAAATGCTTTAAAGGAATACCTGCAAGTTGATTTGCTGTCGGTCCATGTTATAACAGCGGTACGCACCCAAGGGCGCTTTGGCAAGGGTCAGGGCCAGGAGTATACGGAGGCCTATGTCCTGGAATACTGGCGACCGGGTTTCACCAGTTGGAAGCGCTGGAAGAATACCCAAGGAAAGGAGGTGAGAAAAAATACCTTTTATCAATAAGTTTCTTACACGCCAAAAAGTATGCAATGAATATTACGATTTTGAGGTTTATTGGATGTCTATGAAACAGCTGTTCGAAAGAGATAATAATTCAAGTCTTTAAAGGTTTCTCTATATTTTTTCCTCCAGCGACACCCAGTATTCTCCAAGCATATCATTGTCAAAATTTCTCTCCCATTTTAACTCTCTCACAAAATATCGAATATTGGGATATGCAAGTCGATTTTCAATCATTCGACTTTTGATATTGAAAAGATTGATAGTCAATCTGGATAAAAAAAAAATAGATAGATAAGACCAGTTCGTGGCAAAGATTTTCGACTTGGGGATCAAACAATTTATAAATTTATCTAAAATCGACATAATTCGACTTTGTCTAGAAATGTCGAAATCGGAAATCGCCTCTTTTGTACGACTTTTAGAAGCCAAATTTGAAAATATATAGTTTTTGGTTATTGAATAACATTTTAGACGATTTTATTGTGAAAAGTCAATACCGAAAATCCATTAAAAGTCTATAGAATACAAATCAAAATATCGAAAATCGACTTTTTTATTCGATCATTCGACTTTTGGTATTGAAAAGATTTATAGTCATTGTGGATAAAAAATAACAAAATGCAATTTGTGGAATTGATTTTCGACATGGAGATCAACTAATTTTGGTCGACCATTCATTTTTATAAAAGGTATGCAGCGATTTACGTCGTTTTAATTTAGATTTTCTATTTTTTTTAAAGCCTCCAATATCGCAACAAGTCGCTCCTATTATCTATTAGCAAATTTATTTAATTTTGGTTATTTATTTAAATTTGGTTAATTTTGGTTATTGAATAAAATTTTAGACTATTTTATTGGGAAAAGTCGAAATCGAAAATCGGTTAAAAGTCTATTGGAAAAAAATCGAAATATCGAAAATCGACTTTTTTATTCGATCATTCGTCGTTTTAGTTTAGTGTTTCAATTATTTTTTAAACAAGCCTCCAATATGCCATCAGATTGCTCCTATCATTTATTAGCAAATCTGTATTATAGGTATAAATTAATCTAAAATCGACAACATTCGACTTTGCTTTGAAAAGTCGAAATCGAAAATCGACTTTTTTTATACGACTTTTAGAAGTCAACTTAGAAAACGCATTTTTCTATTGAATAACATTTTACATGATTTTTATGTTAAAAGTAAAAATCGAAAATCGGTTAAAATCTATTGGAAAAAATCCAAATATCGAAAATCGACTTTTTGTTTGTGGCAAAAGAAAAGAGAAATCTCAAAATCAGTCTTTGATTTTTACTCTATATTTTTAGTAAAAAAAACAGATAATGCCCATAAAAAAACTGAATTCTTTCGTAGGAAGGTTAAAATACACCATAAATGAAAAAATAAAAATCGACTTTTTGCCTATTGTCTTCACTCGAATTTGACTTGAAAAGTCGTAATCGAAAATCGATTTTTAGCTTATGGTACGAAATCCGAGGGAAAATATGAAAAAATTTAGAAATTTACCTTTGTTTGCTATTCCTTATCCTCAATTGGGGCTAATGAAGACTTCAAGAAAGCTCCAGTCGATTAAAATTCATAAAAAATACAAGTCGACTTTGGTTGGAAATGACGAATTTGAAAATCAATTTTTATACCATTTAACGATCGAAAAGCGACTTATTTTCTGAAGACATAAAATAAGCATTTTAAGGTCGAGTTTATGTTTTTGTAAAAAAAAAATGAAAACCGACTTTTAATCGACAGGGAAATTTAGATAGACAAAAAATCAAGCCTTTATTGAAAAAAAAAAATCGAATAGTCTAAACCACGATTTTTGCTCTCGGGAACGAATCCTTTACTTGGAATTCACATCTCCTTCGATGCCTATTAAAATTTGGTTTTGGACAGGGAATTCGGTTTATGCTCTCGGAAAGGAATCCTATACTTGGATTTCACATCTCCTTCGATGCCTATTAAAATTGAGTTTTGCCCACGGCATTCGAATTCTGAGCCTCCTTCATGGCCTTATTGCCCCTTGGACTTTGAGAAACATAAATTATACTCCCGACTTTAGTCGACTTTAATTTGAAATTGTTAAAAAGAAAGAAAGAAAGAATTAAAATCGATTTAATTTTATTTGATTAAATAAAATCAAATTAAAGTCGAATTTTGGTATGAATCCCTAACTGATAGTCGATTTTTTTAGTTCGGCCGTAATTGAGTAAAAATACACACCAACGGTCCACAAAAGAAAATGAAATGAATGCTATTGTCTCTTCGTAAAATGGCTCTTTAAAAAGTCGATTCGATATTTTGTAAACGAAGAATCGAAAATCGATTAAAATCGACAGGCCGAAAAGTCGCCTTTTTTGAGCAGTATGAAGTCAAAAAACCCAAATTTTACTCTAGACTGCGGACTCCAATCATGAACTGTCATCTCCTTCGATTTTGGGTTCGAGAGTTAAAATCAAAAATGAGAAGTCAGAAAACCTAAAAACTGACTTTGCTCTCGACTAAGTATCCTTAACTTTAAACACATATCATCTTCGATTTTTGGGTTCGAGAGTAATAATCGAAAATCGATTTTCTTAGATGAAGGAGTTTTTTTTTTTTTTTTGTAGATATTAAGTCTTCTCATCAAACGTATATATATGGTCAGGTCGAAAAGTCGTCAAAAAACATAAAACACGAATTTTGCTCTCGACTGCGGATTTTTAACCACGAACCCTCCTCATCTCCATTGAATTTGGGCTCGGAAATAAAAATCAAAATTGTTTTTCAAAAAACATAAAACACGAATTTTTCTCTCGACTGCGGATTTTTAAACACGAACCCTCTTCATCTCCATTGAATTTGGGCTCGGGAATAAAAATCAAAGCTGTTTTTTTGTTGGAATGTAGGTTTTTTTTTGTAGATATTAAGTCTTCTCATAAAAATTCATAAACCTAGGCCCCATTTTTTGGGTAATGCCAAGTAAAATTGGGGTTCGTCCAGGAAAATTGATTTTTGAGCCAGCCTGAAAAATGATTGCCACCTTTGACTTTGAAAAACATAAGTCATACCCCCTTTCATTTCCTCCTATCTCTAACCATTTTCTAAGGCAATTTCCCTGACATTTTTACTACAATGCAAAAAATATTGAAAATTTTCGTATTGGAGAAAAAACTAAACCTTTCTCTTTTCTGTTTTTGTTTTTCTTCTTCCTTTTCTTATCCAGATATTACCCGGCAACATTAATACCTATAGCGAAGTGGAAAACTCTTTACAACCGATTATATTCGCATCGAAAATACGCATCTATCCATATGGTCAATATGATCGCACGGTGTGTCTGAGAGCTGAAATTGTGGGTTGTCCATGGGAAGGTGAGTAATAAAAAAAACAAAAAAAAAAAAAAAAAAATAGAAACTCTATGACTCAAAATCTCAACCATTGAAGATGTCCATGGGCAGTCAGCATCAGTATATGCCGCAGACATCTAGGCATTGATGTGGTGGGCCATGCATATATGCTGGCTGGCTCGCTGGCCAAGTGCCTAACTGCTGGCACCAAAAAAAAATATGCATTTGGTGATTTTATAATTTATGGTTTTTCGATAATATATGGACAGTTTTAAATTTAAGATGCTGTCTTCCTCGCCGTCGTCGTCTTCTTCTTCTTTGCGAAATCTAATGTGCGTTTTTTCTTCGTTGCGCCTATGTCATGCTGTCTCTAATGGCCAATGGTGTGGAAAGTTTTAGTGTCTACTGTGAGTTAGCGAGTAGTGGCGATGGTGGCAGAGAATCAGCAGGATATAAATTGATCAATTTGATGATGTTCGTCCAATTCAAATGTTGCAGCATTTTTTTTAGCTCGGATGAAAGTTAGAGGATTTGTGAGTGGAGCTGTAATTGGAAATAAAAATCATAACTCGTGGGGAATGTAGATTCATATTTTATTTTCTGTTTTTAACGAGACATTTTAAAGCCGTAAAATAATATTTCTAGCTGTTTAGATAAGTGACCTGAGAGGTTACAATTCGGAAAAATTGGTATTTATGTAAAACAATTTTTTGCAGGAAATATAAACTTGAAATTGTATATTTATAGAGATTTGACTAAAAATCGTCTCAAGACGATATTTTAAGTTCCTTGTGTCCACATAAGATCCATTACCGATTCTTTCATTACACCAACAATAATTACGGGGAAAATCCAGCAGAATATGGAAGTAGAGCTAAAGACACCCACATCGGCCTTTTTCTTTTAAAAGTTTTCTCTTCCACACTTTTGTAAATTTTCCAATTAAGATTCCTCCGAATCCATGGATTGTAGGTTTACAGTGTCTTCGACATAAAATAATTACGGGAAAATCCAGCAGATCATAAAAGTAGAGCTAAGAAAAAAATACACCTATATCGGCTATTAGAAAGTTAACGTCGCAAAATAACATAAATAGAGGGGCCATGTTCCACTCTCTTCCACACTTTTGGACATTTTCGAACTAAGATTCCTCCGAATCCATGTATTTTAGGTATACTGTGTCTTCGGCAAAAAATAATTACCGGGAAAATCCTGCAGGTCTCAGAGGTAGAGCTAAGAAAATAAAACACCTATATCGGCCTTTAGAAAGTTAACATTGCAAAGTAACCTATAGAGAGGAACCGCGTTCCACCCTCTTTCACACTTTTCAAAATTTTCGAATTAAGATTTCCCCGAACCCATACATTTTAGGTATATAGTGTCTTGGCAATATTGCAAATAAAAATATGAAGAATTTTTTGATTGACAATTTTAACCCTCAAGCGAGCCAACAAGGGGTCTTTTTGGTACTTTTTTGAAATATTGTGGAAAACTCCCTTTAAACGGAATCGTGGTAGGTTAAAATATTACACAAAATTATTTGTCATGCAAAAATCTCCAACAAATCATAATTTTAAAGGGATGATGTCAAAGTTGAAAATTCAAATTTTACTACAAGTCAACAAAGAAAAGAAATCTCTATTTCATTTTATATCAAAAAAAAAAAAAAAATATTTCATACCTTAATTCAAGACACCAAGAGAATTCCAGCTCTACCCCTTCACCCAATACCATATTTAGTACTATTTTGTACTCTTCGTAAAATTTTAGTACACATTCCCGACGGGACATGGGACGCATTTCCCAAACCTCATCCATATCTTAACCACAGTTTTAAATCCATATCAAATTATGAGCTAATAGCAAATATAGTACCATTTACCAACAATTATCTAAATATCAAATTTTGGAATTTTATCTCCACCCCTTTAACCAAGACCACATTTAGTACCATTTAGTACTTTTCATACAATTATGGTACACATTTTCAAAACCATCCTCAAAATCTAATTTGAGGATACTAGCCCTATTCCGTCACCCACTACGAAATTTAGAACCATTTAGTACATATCGTAAAATTTTAGTACACATTCCCGAAACAATTTCTATATCTCAATATTAAATCGCACAATTTAGGATTCCAGCTCTATCCCTTCAACCAAGACCAAATTTCGTACCATTTAGTACTTTTCGTACAATTATGGTACACATTTTGAAAACCACTTCCATACCTTAATTCCAGATACCAACAAAGACCTCAAAATATAATTTGAGGATTCTAGCCCTATCCCGTCACCCAATACCAAATTTAGTACCATTTAAGACCTTTCGTAAATGTATAGTACATATTCCCGAAACAACCTCCACATCTCAATATTGACATCAACGGAGACCTCAATATCAAATTTTAGGATTCCAGTCCATAACTCCACCCAATACCAAATTGAGTACCATTTAGTAGATTTCGTACAATTATAGTATATATTCCCGAAACAACCTCATATCTCAATTTTAGTCATCAACAAAGACCTCAATATAAAATTTTAGGATTCCAGCTCTATCACTTCACCCAATACGAAAGTACTTTTCTTACAATTATGGTACACATTTTCAAAATCACCTCTATACCTCAATTCCAGATACAAACAAAGACCTCAAATTCTAATTTGAGGATTCTAGACCATTTAGTACTTTTCGTACAATTATGGTACATATTCCCGAAACATCCTCCATATTTCTATATTAAACACCAACAGAGACCTCAAGAGCACAATTTAGGATTCCAGCTCCATAACTTCACCCAATACCAAATTTAGTACCATTTAGTACATTTCGTACCATTATGGTACACATTCATGAAACAACTTCCATAACTCAATTTTAAAAACCAACAGAGACCTCAATATCAAATTTTAGGATTCCAGCTCTATCGCTTCACCCAATACGAAATTTAGTACCATTTAGCACTTTTCATAAACTTATAGTACACAATCTCCAAAACAAACTTCCATATCTTAATATTAAACACCAACAGAGACCTCATTAGCTCAATTTAGGATTACAGCTCTATCATATCACCCAATACGAAATTTGGTACCATTCAGTACTTTTCGTACTAACATGGGACGCATTTCCAAAATCATCTCCATACCTCAATTCCTAATACCAACAGAGACCACAATAGCAAAATTTAGGATTCTAGCTCTATCCCTTCACCCAATACCAAATTTAGTACCATTTAGTACTTTTCGTAAACTTATGGTACACATTCCCGAAACTACCAAATCTCAAACACAGATACCATTAGTAATTCAAATATCAAATTTCAGAATTTTATTTCTATCCCTTCAACCACGACCAAATTTAGTACCTTTTAGTACTTTTCGTACAATTGTAAAACACATTTCAAAAACCATTTGTCCATGTGTCTAGGCTACACATGAACAGCCCTTATACCAAATTTAAGATTTCAAGCACTATGTGTTCACCCGATACCAAATTATATCATATATAGTACTATTTAGTACTTTTCGTGCACTTGTAGTACATATTTCCAACGTCACCTTTTTATCACAAACCGACCACCAATGGGGACCTAAATACGAAATTTCAAAATCCAAGCTTCATCTGTTAACCCTAAAGCGAACTGTTGCATATTTAGTACCATTTAGTACAGTTCGCAAACAGTACATGTTTCCAAAATCTACCTCAAATCTACCCAAATGCTAGTATTTTAGAAGTTAAGAATATTTTAAGAGCTTTTCGTAACTTTCCAAATGTTACCATTTTAAAAGTTTAGTACAATTTAAGAACTTTTTGTAACCTTAAAGTTGGAGTTTTCAAAAACCATTTGTTACATCTATGCTGCACTCCATCAGTGACTCCCAGTCCAAATTTCAGAATTCTAAACCATTCCGCTTGTCCGATATAAATTATTCAATTTTCATTGGATTTCAGTCGAAAAATACCAATTTTTAGTACATTTTTGTTGCCTTTTAGTACGATTTAAAAAAAAACCTAGCCTTATCACACGCCTTAGCTCCATAACTCACCCTTGTGCAACATTTGAGGATTTTAATTGTAGCCACTTAGTCTGAACGTTGATTTTGAGTCAGTCATTCAGTTATTTCCTTACTCTTATATTTATACAGATCTTATGTATACCTCTTCCATACAACCCAATTTTGTGTAGAAATTTATTACTGCAATTTATAATTGTTTACAGTTTAGCTAAGCCTTAATCCCCTTGTTTGGCTAACAAGCAAAAAGCGAATGGTTCCCCCTCAAAAAGGTGTCCACCATAAAGCTAAGTTGCCCATAAACTAACCACCAAATGTTGATTTTCATATAATCATGCTCTACACCTCTAATTTACTCCTTTCAATAAATTCTGAAAATTTAAATAGTATTGAATTTCAATTTCCATTTCGGTCTTATTATCCTCCACGTTTTTTTTTTTTCTGGAAAACTGCACCCATTTTGGTGTAGCCAGAATTGCAATCCCCCAAAAATCAATTTGGCCTTTGCCAAATGTTAATCAGCCTTTTGTGTGGTTGTAAACTTATGTGGGTTAGGTAGTACTCAGAGGGGAGGGGGTCTTGGATTATTTGTTGTTTTTGCCTTGTTTTACAATTATAAACCTCTCCCATTTTAAATATCATTAATCATGTGCTGCCATACTAGTTAATTTAAACCAACGGCAACATAACCACTCCGAATATAGACAACATAATCAACTCCAACAGAATCCAATAATACAAACTATAACAACAACAGCAAATCCCAAAAAAAAAAACTTAACAACTATCAAAACATTTTAAATGCATTTTAAATGCAGGGGAGATTTTTTCCTTATTTTAATCCAAAAAAAATATCAACAAAGCCAATGGATACAATAAAAAAGCTCTCTGTTTTAATCTCTGGGATTATCCTCAACTTAGCCAGACAGCCAGATAAACCAAAAAAATAACACCAAACACTTATGCAGAGCTGTTGATAAGTTCAGGCATATAATCACCTCTGAG